CTTACTAGTCCAAGGGAGTGGCACTATCCCCAGTGATTTCCCTATACTTTGCCCCACTTTTGTAAATGGTAAATTTATGAAATTCTCCCCTACAGTACCCGGTTAGATTGTGCTAGTCTTTTTATGCTAGGTTCCTGGCTGATACACTGGTTTAGACAAAGCTGGTTCAAATCCCCCTTCTCCAGTTGTTAAGCAGTGTAGCCTCAGGGAAGTTATGCCTCAGAAGACTCGGTTTCCCTGCTTTGGGATAATAAGAATGCCTTCCTCGGCTGGGCTCATTGACTCATGCCTGTAATCCCAGCACTTTGGGAGGCCAAGGCAGGCAAATCACTTGAGGTCAGGAGTTTGAGACCAGTCTGGCCAACATGGTGAAACCCCATCTCTACTAAAAATACAAAAATTGCCTAGGAGTGGTACTGGACATCTGTAATCCTAGCTACTCAAGAGGCTGAGGCAGGAGAGTCACTTCAACCTGGGAGGCAGAGGTGGCAGTGAGCTGAGATCGTGCCACTGTACTCCAGCCTGGGTGACAGAGAGTCTCCGTCTTAAAAAGAAAAAAAAGAAAAAGAATATCTGCCTCCTGGAGGAGTTACAATAATTAAATACATTGTTATAGGAATTACTTACCTAAGAGCCTGGTACATAGTAAACATTTGGTGAAATTTAGCTAAAATTAAATTGTAACTAAAAGTCATTTTTCCAGCTTAAATCAAAAACTACTTAAACTTTAAACCCAGAGATGCAAAAGGAGAATTTATTTACAAAAATTTAAAAAAAAAACTGTAATATATCAAAGGGAGAGAAAAATATAGCTTTAAAATAAACAATATTTTAAATAATATTTCAATCAAATAAATTAAACATATTTCTCACTTTTACCTCAAAAATTTCTGAAGCTACAAAAATCTTTTCAAAATAAATATCTGATGAGAATTTAGGAACACTTTTCATTAAGGGGAGTTAGGATTCTAAATTAGAAATATAACAAGCTTTAGCTGATGTTTTAAAAAGTCCATTAAGGTAAGAAGATCCTCGATACTAGTCATATTCATTGATTTAGTTTGATGAAAGTCAAAGATAAAAAATGTGGGAAAAAAATAAGGATTAGACCAAATCCTATATAATCTTTCCAGTAGGATTACTTATATCTGAGGGTTTTCTCTCATCTTAATATAGCACCTTGAAAATACTGGGCTTACTGGGAACAAGAAGATAACATGAATCTTTTCAAATTTATTTAATATTTAAAAATAATCCCCATTGGCTACATGGGAAAAAGGCTTACTCTGAGAATAAACCCTGGGGCAACACTCCTATTCACATTCATTATAATGTGTGCCAGCACCATATCATTACTTCAGGTTCAAAGCAAAATCAATAGCAAATCATTTGACTTTGTAATAGCAGAAATGCAAGACGCCACCAACTTAATCAAAGAAGGCTGTCTTAGAAAAGGTAGCCACATGCACCACGTGAAAATACTTGAATGCTTTCAGCATCAATTGCCTAAAATCTAGCTTTTTTATGTGACTGGATATGTGAATATAGTATATATTTTTATTATTTCAGGACTGCCTTGATATGAATCCTAATATTTGACAAATTACCTCTCTTGGAGACGATGTGAGTTAGTTTCTGCTTTTATAAACTTGTCAAAAGCCAAAGGAAAAGTAACAGCCACCAGCCAAACAAGGAGATATTTATTTCTCATAACTGAAAAAGGGATTTATTTTCAGAAATCTCATACATATGAACAGAGATGGGCCCCAGCTTCTGGTGGCTTCAAAAAAGTATTAGCAATAAGCCTATGCTCCCTATTTTAATACTTTCTCTATATATAGTCAGTTCACTTATATCATTCAATTCTCATTCTATTAATAGTTGGACAGAAAGGAGAGGTTAGCTATTGGTTGAGCTGACATCTGCACAGCCTAGTTTGGATTTATAAGTGGGCAATCCAATTAACATAAAAAACCATAGAGTTCTTGAGGGCAACGATAGATAAGCCTCTTCACACTTGCTGAGATATTCCCACAGTATGTCTTCTGATGAGAACCAGAACCACTTCCCAAATGACAAAGGCAGGCTGGACCTCCTATCTTAGGCTTAAGACTAGGAGGGAGTGTGTATTTGTGTGGGGGAAATCTTTGGATAGCTTACGTATTTTATAAAATGATAAATTATTTAAACCTCAAGGAACTGGAGGCAACGTGTAATTTAATCTTTAAGATGAGGATACTGACGTCCATGGAAATACAAGACCTGCTAAAAGGCTTATATTTGTTTAAAAACTATAATTAAAACATCTGATTAATCTAATTCATGTATTTGTCTTTATTTCAGTTGCTTTCTTACCCTCTGATTAAAATGTTTCTTTTCATATGTTAAGGGCATTTTCTTTCTATAATGACTTAGAATATACTGACTATCTTTGTGTGCCAGAGTAGATTAATAAATATGCATCATGGTTTTAGAACATAAACAAATTACCAAACAAGACATTGGGTTAATAATTTATTCCTGAAAAAAATCATCTTAAATCAAGCTATGGACATTGAGGACAACATACATAACAAATCTTTGCCTATTGGCTTAAGAAATGAGGTGGTAACTATATTCATTTGCTAAGTCTGCTAGCCAGCACACAGGTTTTGAACATTCAGTTTGTTGATTTGTTCATTTTATTCCAGCAATCATTGTTGAAACTTCTGTCCTCAAGTTTAATATGAGAGAGTATAAAACTAGGGTTCTACACAATGAGCTCCGGGTCTGCAGAGCTTCTGGGTGTGATTTGCTGAAAAAGGTTTCACTTTAGAGATGAAGCAGCAGCAGCCAGAGGAAGAAAGTAAAAGCAGCTATATAGGGAAAGGTGAGTTTTTGTTGTTTGTTTGTTTATGTTTGAGAGACATTAAAAACTCATTTAATTGTCACTAATGCCTAGGCAAATAACGTTGTTTTTCCAGTATTTGTAAGGATTTTTCAGTTCTTGATCTTCCCTACAATGGAAGAATTTCACTATTCTTGAAATGCTATTAATAAAAAGTTGAAAAAGCCAGGCGCAGTGGCTCAAGCCTGTAATCCCAGCACTTTGGGAGGCCGAGGCGGGTGGATCACGAGGTCACGAGATCGAGACCATCCTGGCTAACAGGGTGAAACCCCGTCTCTACTAAAAATACAAAAAACTAGCTGGGCGAGGTGGCGGGCGCCTGTAGTCCCAGCTACTCGGGTGGCTGAAGCAGGAGAATGGCGTGAACCCGGGAGGCGGAGCTTGCAGTGAGCTGAGATCGCTCCAGCCTGGGCGACAGAGAGAGACTCCGTCTCAAAAAAAGAAAAAAAAAAAAAAAAAAAAAAAAAAGTTGAAAAATACTAAGTATAACACTAATATTTATTAAGTAACTACTTTGAGGTCTCCGCATGTGTTATTTAGTCCTCACCATAGCCCCAACAGTGAGTCATGAGTTATTACCATTGCCCTGCCAAAGGCAAGAAACCTGAAGCACAGAGTGCTAGAGTAACTTTCCTTAAGCCACCCGCTAGTTTGGGGAACAACCAGGATAGGAACATGAATGTTCTCTCTCCCTGCCTTTTAATGTTCTTTTTGTTAGTAAAGTGTTAAGAGCTTGGGCATGCAGTCGAGCACAGGGGTTCAAATTCCATTGCTTATTAAAAGTATAACCTTCAGCGGGTTACTTCCACTGTTTAATCATCACAACCACCCATTTGCATACATTGAGCTGTGTTCCTTCTGGTTTGAAATGTTCTTTTTGTTGTTGTTGTTTCCATTGTGCCAAAGTACTTTGGGAGAATTAACCCTTCTGGCCTTTATTTTCATTTTCATAAAAATATTTTTGCAATGATTTATATAACCATATCTTGCTTGATCCGTTGACTAGATTCAGTGAAATATTTATGTAAGTGAGAAATGTAGATTTGACTGTTTCAATACTGTCAGCCTTGCCATCCAAAAAGAGACAAATGTGATAAGAGAAATAGTGGGTAAATTACATAACATTTTCTAACAAAATCCTTTACATGGATGCCTTGAATTTTTACTTAATACAAAAGAATTCGAACACCTTTTGGCAATTGGATTAAGAGACAGTTTCGTGGATTGGAGATCTAAAGATTAAGCTTTACCAGGGGTAACAATAGCTTTATTCAAATAGTAGTCTTGGCTTCTGGTAATGGGGTGAGAATATAATAAGTAAATTCTACAGAAGTGAATAAATTGGTTTTTCTCTTAGGAAAAGGTGTCAAATACTTGTCAAAGGGCAAGGGAGATGACTGGTTGTTCCCTCAGAGGGGTGGGGCCTCCCTGGGGGATTACCTGATTCTGTAGGGTAAACACCTTTGATTATCTTTCTTATTGACTCATCTATAATATGTAGCTCTATAGTGAGTAGAAGTTTAGTTGAAAAAAAAAAATCATACAAATGATTACTGTCTATAACAATAAAAATGAGCATAGTTCTGAAAAAACATAATTGATTATCCAATCTGTATGTAGAAAAGATGTTGCCAAACATTATATTACCTTATGCGATTTTAGCCAGTCTTTCATCTATTATTACATTTATTTTAGCATCCCTGATTGCCTGATAATACTTTCATCTTTCAGATTAACCTTTAAGCCTAATTTTAGCATCTTACTGGTTCTCCCATTAATTAATATCCCATAATCTGTGACAGATTACCATTTTATATTTGTTTGAGTCATGACTTAACCTTCTTGTAAATTATACTTTAGAATGTTATACAATGGTTTTAAATGTGTTTGGTTATTTTTGAGTAACATTTATTTATTCACCAGGTATTTATTGAGTGCCATTTTTGTCCCAGAGAGTGGGCAAGACATTGTGGATTCAACTTGAAGACGGCAGAAAATATCCTACCCTTAATGGATATCATAGTCTAGTACAGATGACAGGCACTGAAATTAAATATATATTTATTATTTATTTTATATTTTATTTTAATTAAATATGTATTTACTATTTTAGTCAAACATATATATAGTATACACACACATACACACACATATAAATAATATTCTGGTATATGTCAGAAAGGAAACAGATATTGACTTTTGAGGGCAAATGATAGAAGAATAGGACCTGATAAGGCAATTCTGCAAGATGTTCTTACAGTTTGAGCTAATATCTTGAAAAAAGTTACTAGATCATTGTGAATTAAAGGTGAGTATGGGGAAGAGTCTTTCCACATAAAGGAATTAACACATGAAAAGGCTTAGAGATGGGAAAGGCAAATCACTGTTGAGCAGAAAGCCAAGAGTAATGTGGTGCCACTTGCAGAAAGGCCATGCAAGCCCTTGTGTCTATAGGGATTATAGTCATAAAAATACAAATTGCATGTATGTAGTTAAGATTCCATGGTAGGTTCCCATGGCTATAATTAAAAAAAAAAAAAAATGCTAGAAATACACCGAGGATGGAATGGAGGGAGAGCAGCACAGATGGGATAATGTGCTTTTGTTTGGTTTTATTTAGTAGAAATAATGAGCTTGACTTCATGTAGCATGAGTCAAAGATGCTTTGAAACTTCCAAGTGGGCAATGATGTAAGGAGCTATAGCTATATACAAAGTCCAATGTGTTAGAATGAGCTGAGAAGAGAACTGGATATAAGGAAAAGGAGGAACGAAGTATAGACACACTCAGGATTCCTGCCAACCTCAAGATCAAACCTATGAGTCCTATATGTAGGAAATTAAAGTGAAGTTGAAACTATTCATTATTATAGGAAGGACACACTCAGGACTCCTGCCAACCTCAAGATCAAACCTAGGAATCCTATATGTAGGAAATTAAGGTGAACTTGAAACTATTCGTTATTACAGGAAGAACCAGGCAGAAAGAGAGCTCAGTAGCAGGTAAGCCTCGTGGTGTTAGAATTACCCTATGGGACAGGGGACATAACCAAGAAGCATGGACACTGAACCCACCACCAGGACACTGCAAGCACAGAAATTAGACAACTCAGTTCAAGATGACTGAGAATTTTCTGGTGATACAAAATTAGTTGTGGCTTTACTCAATTTGAAGGAATGAGAATTATTCAATCCTCTAGCTTCGCACAGTAGCAAATTAGACCAGATTACAGCTTCAAAAAGTTACTTGGTCCAGGTAATGTTATACAAGCTCCTTGTAGATGTGTTATACATGTTTTTAATATAATAAGCTTGACCTTGGCCACTGTAGACATATATATATTTCTGGATACTGTTGCTTATAAAAAGGCTTTGAGTAGCAATTGGCCTTGTTCACCAAACTAATAATGTAATGACAACATGCTCTGTTTTGAGAGGATATCTTGAGTTAAATTTTTTTCAGTTTCTTCTTCAGATAAATGTATGTCTGTCATCCCAAAGAATAATGAGAACTACTGAATCCAAATTGCTTCACCTCTCATAAAAGAAGTTTAGAAAAAAAGCCAAGTACGGTTATGGTTATTAACTTGTATTAAGTGCTTTGTAAAATAATACAGTAATATTAAAATATATCAATAATGATGACAGTTCTTAGTCTAATACTCCTGATTACCAGATAGATACATGAGAGATAAGCTTTAGTTTTAATTTTATTTTTATTTACCTGCATATTTATTCTATCAGTTCTCTTCATAACATGATTTTGCTATTTTATCAGCGTGTTTGTGGCCTGCCTTCCATGTGTCAGGCACTGACTTAAGTACTAAGAATTAAGAAAAAAAAAAAAGAATAATTATGGTTCCTGATTGTAAGCATTTTTAAATTTAAAACTAGAGTTATAGCTACTGAAAATCCTTCTGGAAATAGGTTAAATAAAAATATTTTGAAATACTTCATTTCTTAGACTATACCATCCAGAAACTTCTAGTCTTGTAAGAATTTCTATAAGAATTCCAGACTCTTCTTTCCAAACATGGGCCAACTTATAAAAAATTATCCAAATAATTCAAATAAGGAGTATAGATGTAGAAGAGAATGGATTGGGTATTTCTTAAGCAATGCGTAGGACATATTTAAACCTTATAAGAAAAGCCTTTGATGCAGACATTATCTGTATAAAGGTGAGAAAGGAGATTCAGAAAGGGTATTAATTGCCAAAGCTCAAGCAACTTGTTAATATAAGAGCTGAAATGTGAGTCATTTCTCTTCAAAGTTCATTTCCTTTCTCCTACACCACAGGGTTTTACGTTGATATGAAAAAATTTCTTTAGGATTCCTTTGAGGAAAGCAATATGGAATCAACATTTTCGTAAAAAGTGCCCATACACCTGTAAAAAGTGACTAATCTTCTGTGTCACCTTCTTTCAGTTACAGCTTTTGTGATATTGCCTGAAGCTTCTGACCAAATACTAGAAGAGCTCTTAAAACAAATCATGTTACAAGAAAAAGTGCCTGTTTTAGAAAACTGACCAGATAGTCCCTTTACCTTTGGTAAGTTTACCTTTACCAAAAGGAAAACGCACAATAATGGAATCCACAGGCACTGCAGCCAAAGGCAGGGTCTTCGGCCCTGCTGAGGAGAGTTGCTTTGAAGTGCAGTGTTGCTGTGCACGTGGAATTGATTAAGCCCTTTATTTTCCTATGGGTCTCTATCACGTTTTTATATCATGTAACATGATTTCTTAGCCATCCTCTCTCTCTCTCTCTGTCACGCACACCCATATAAAGGTGTTTATGCAGGCACTCTTTATGCTCATTATTTCTACGTTTTTTTCCTAGTCATATTATCTTAGATTATAATTGACTCTTCAGAGTACAGTGGGGACCAGGTGAGTGGAGGTTGGTGTGGCCTTGGACTATAATTGACTCTTTAGGGGGAAAAATAGATATATTTTCTGAAATCCATAAGTTCTGGAATTGTGGCTTGCTCACTAACTTATTTGAAAAAGCCTAAGATAATAAATGTTAATTGAATTAATGGATTAATGTATCCTTTTAGATAAGGTAATATGCAATGTCAAATCTCTAAGCAATTTAACTGAGGACAGCACGATTCAATTAAAATTTTAAATTTTATCATATTTTAAATCCAGTTGGGTGAAGTGGATTAAAGATAGGTGGGAGTGAAAGCAGAAACACAGTTACAAAAACAATGGTTCAGATGGGAGAAACAAGGACCTTGAGGATAAAAATCATTTTTACATATGAAATTATTATTTTTGAAAAGGTAATGTAGATTACATTTTCTAATATAATATATTTAAATGTATCTTAATGAATACCACAAAATATTTCATGGTAGATAATTATATCATCATTTTCCAGTAGCTGACTCAATGTCTCACAGCTGGACCTGTGATCAAATTCCAACTTTGCCACTTTCTGTTTCTGTTTCATGAAACCTTTGCTTTGTCAATGATGTTGAAGTACCTACAGTGATTACATACAAACGAATATTGAAACGGAGGCAGGAAACTTGGGCAAGTGCTAGGTTCCTGCTGATGTGACAATCCTTTTTTTTTTTTGAGACGGAGTCTCACTCTGTCCCCAGGTTGTAGTGCAGCAGTGCGATCTCAGCTAACTGCAAGCTCCGCCTCCCAGGTTCACACCATCCTCCTGCCTCAGCCTCCCAAGTAGCTGGGACTACAGGCGCACGCTGCCACACCCGGCTAATTTTTTGTATTTTTAGTAGAGACAGGGTTTCACCATGTTAGCCAGGATGGTCTCCATCTCCTGACCTTGTGATCTGCCTGCCTAAGCCTCCCAAAGTGCTAGGATTACAGGCGTGAGCCACCGTATCCGGCCAACAATCCTCTTTTTAATTCATTTGTTCTATATAAATCTACAAAACTCTATAAATAATACAATCAAAATTCTGTTTCTGACATTAAATCTCAAAATGTATGAGCCAGATCTATGCCATTTTTCTCTGTTGAAATAATTTTTAATACTTTCAGATTTCCTTTATGCAATAGTTATTTCAATGGAACATCTCAGATTATTTTTCATTTGGTGGAGAAGTAAGGCCAACCTTGATGGGCCTGAATAGGCCGGCATTCATGAGGCACTTTTGCCAGACTATAATGAGAATAATTGGTCTCTCAAAGATGTCTAGGCCCTAATCCCTGCAAACCATGAATACATTACATCATATGGCAAAGGGAAATTCAGGTTGCAGATGGAATTAAGGTTGCTAATTAACTGAACTTAAAACAAATAAGCTGAGCATGGGATCTCAGCACTTTCGGAGCTGAGGTGAGAGGATTGCTTGAGGCCAGGAGTTTAAGAGGAGCCTGGGCAACATAGGGAGACCCTATCTCTAAAATCATATAAATACATAAATAAATAAATTATTTTGGATTTTCTGGGTGGGTCCCCTGTAATCACAAGTGTATTTTAACAGTGGAGGAGAGAGGCAGAAGAGGCAGAGTGATGCAATATGAGAGACATTTAACTGACCATTGCTGGCTTTGAAGACGGAGGGGGCCACATGCCAAGGAGTGGGGGCAGCCTCTTGAAGCTGAAAATGGTTACAGCCTCCAGAAGGAACCAGCCTTGCTGATACCCAGTAAGATTAATTTAGACTCCTGACCTCCATAACTGTTTGATAATACACTTGTATTGTTGTAAGCCACTACATGTTTGATAATTTGTTACCACAGCAATAGGAAACTAATATACTAACTCTGATGAAACTCTTTAAAATAAAAGATTTTCTTCTCATAAATCATAAGGTAGCAGGCTCAATCTCATATAGACCTGCATTGGGCCCATCTGCCATAACCCAACACACCTCCCAAACCTACTGAAGTGACTAAGCTGAACCTAATGGTCAGTGTCCTTAGTATGGAATAAAAAAGAAATCCAGACATGGGTAAAGAAAGATTTTTTCAAAAGGTTATTGAAATAAAAGAAAGGAAGATTATATTAATAGAAATAGGGAAACTATTGTGACCATGATATCAGCAAAGATCCCAGAGGTCAGGCAAAATAATCTTTTCTTTTGTAGAGCGGAGTCAATGAGTGCTTAATAGTCATGTTTATAAGGCAAATCATGTCTTTGTATTCTGTATTTTTGATGCTTTGACAGTTGGGCCCTTGCTGGCCCTGGAGGGATTGGCTCTCCAGAGCTAACCAATTCCTAGAGACAGTAAATAATTCACATGTTAATGAACACACTTTTCATATGCAAGACAATCAATCTGGAGCCCATGCCTTTACCACCTCCTTTATTAAGATCTCACAGGGTTTTACACATGGGCCACTATTCCTCTGACCTAATCACCCCAGGACTAGGAACCAGACAAATAGGAACAGCCAACATGCTGCAGAGTTTGCTGAAATTATTCAGACTAGCCACCTCTACACCTGCTTATCCATTTCTTCCTGCAGAAACCAAAATAACGGCTTTTGTTCTTGGTTTCCCCTTGTATTAGTCCACTCTTACATGGCTATGAAGAAATACCCGAGACCGGGTATTTATTTATTTATTTTATTTTATTTTTTTATTTATTATCTTTTTTAATTTATTTATTATTATTATACTTTAAGTTGTAGGGTACATGTGCATAATGTGCAGGTTTGTTACATATGTATACTTGTGCCATGTTGCTGTGCTGCACCCATCAACTCGTCATTTACATCAGGTATAACTCCCAATGCAATCCCTCCCCCCTCCCCCCTCCCCATGATAGGCCCCAGTGTGTGATGTTCCCCTTCCTGAGTCCAAGTGATCTCATTGTTCAGTTCCCACCTATGAGTGAGAACATGCGGTGTTTGGTTTTCTGTTCTTGTGATAGTTTGCTAAGAATGATGGTTTCCAGCTGCATCCATGTCCCTACAAAGGACACAAACTCATCCTTTTTTATGGCTGCATAGTATTCCATGGTGTATATGTGCCACATTTTCTTAATCCAATCTGTCACTGATGGACATTTGGGTTGATTCCAAGTCTTTGCTATTGTGAATAGTGCTGCAATAAACATACGTGTGCATGTGTCTTTATAGCAGCATAATTTATAATCCTTTGGGTATATACCCAGTAATGGGATGGCTGGGTCATATGGTACATCTAGTTCTAGATCCTTGAGGAATCGCCATACTGTTTTCCATAATGGTTGAACTAGTTTACAATCCCACCAACAGTGTAAAAGTGTTCCTATTTCTCCACATCCTCTCCAGCACCTGTTGTTTCCTGATTTTTTAATGATCGCCATTCTAACTGGTGTGAGATGGTATCTCATTGTGGTTTTGATTTGCATTTCTCTGATGGCCAGTGATGATGAGCATTTTTTCATGTGTCTGTTGGCTGTATGAATGTCTTCTTTTGAGAAATGTCTGTTCATATCCTTTGCCCACTTTTTGATGGGGTTGTTTGTTTTTTTCTTGTAAATTTGTTTGAGTTCTTTGTAGGTTCTGGATATGAGCCCTTTGTCAGATGAGTAGATTGCAAAAATGTTCTCCCATTCTGTAGGTTGCCTGTTCACTCTGATGGTAGTTTCTTTTGCTGTACAGAAGCTCTTTAGTTTAATGAGATCCCATTTGTCAATTTTGGCTTTTGCTGCTGTTGCTTTTGGTGTTTTAGACATGAAGTCTTTGCCCATGCCTATGTCCTGAATGGTACTACCTAGGTTTTCCTCTAGGATTTTTATGGTATTAGGTCTCACATTTAAGTCTCTAATCCATCTTGAATTAATTTTCGTATAAGGAGTAAGGAAAGGGTCCAGTTTCAGCTTTCTACTTATGGCTAGCCAATTTTCCCAGCACCATTTATTAAATAGGGAATCCTTTCCCCATTTCTTGTTTCTCTCAGGTTTGTCAAAGATCAGATGGCTGTAGATGTGTGGTATTATTTCTGAGGACTCTGTTCTGTTCCATTGAGACCGGGTATTTATAAAGGAAAGAGGTTTAATTGACTCGCAGTTCTGCATTGCTTGGGAGGCCTCAGGAAACTTACAATCGTGGCAGAAGGTAAAGCAGGCACCTTCTTCACAGGGCAGCAGGATGGAGTGAGAGCCATTAGGGGAAATGCCACATGCTTGTAAAACCATCAACTCTCATGAGAGTTCACTCACTGTCATGAGAACAGCATGAAGGAAACCACCCCTATGATTCAATTACCTCCACCTGGTCCCACCCTTGACATGTGGGGATTATTACAATTCAAGGTGAGATTTGCATGGGGACACAGAGCCAAACCATATCACCCCCCACTTCCTCTGCCTCCTGACGAACCCTGGTGCTCCATCATATGGCCCTGCATGTCCTTCTGTGCCTCTTGATTTTAGGGATCAATGACTAGAAAAGCCTTTTTTCAATACCAATCACTTTCACGTCTGTGTATTTTATCATACCTGATTAAAACAAATCTCAGGTACCCTTTTAAAACAAGGCCAGAAAATATTAGGTGTGGGGAGTGGTATATGAGGGTGATATGATTGGACAGTTGTTATGGAATGTTTTTCCTTGAGGTCAACCAAGCCTAGGAGGGGCTGTTAAAGAGGGGTTGTTCCTTATTTCAGTACTCAAGGATAGGCCAGGGTTCACAGGCCTGAGTTAAGGAGAGAAACTTGATTAAAATCTAGATAAGTTAATGGACATTTTGTTCCAATAGGTTAGTAGAGACAAACCATTCAGCTAATTGCTTGTGAGACAAAGAATGGAAATGCGGAGGATGGAAATATCTGGCTTTGTCATAGGTACAAGAGGTAATCTTTGACTCTTATCCAAGCCATATGGAAAAGGGTGGTCCTTTGCACTAAGCCCTTCCAGGAACACAAAATGGATGGGAAGATTTCTTGGCTGTTCCTGTTGTCCCTGTTTTTCAGGAGCACAGGGCTCAGGTAAAGTTTGATATTGTCACTGGCCTTTTCGGAATAGGAGCATTCTTAGCATTGCAGATCACATTATTTAAATCTGCCTTTTTACTTTTTTCTCTACTTGTCATGGCTTTAACAGTGGTAATGCTGTGGGATAAAATAAAAACTACGTAAGTCATAAATATTGTTTGTGAGATTTCAATTAGATGCAAAACCAGTTTTGCTGACACAACTAAGGTTAAGTAAAACAAAATGAAAATTTATTCTCATATAAATTATTGCATTGGTTCTCAAAAATTTTGCAGAATATTCACTCATTTTATATGTTATCAGACTGGGCTTCAAAAAGTTAAAGCAACCTAAATCCTTCCTGATATTTTTTTCTGGGTCTAATACAGATGATTTTAAAATAAGGATGCCTTTAGGTTTCTAACTCCACAAACCATTGAATGGTCTGTTTCACTCCCTTAAAATGCTGTGCCTCAATCCCTGCCCTTCTAAGAGTGGAACTATAATCGGTTCATTGCCCAGTGTGCACGACAAGGCAATACACCAAGACACCAGGTTGCAGGAGAGAAAGAGGTTTAATTGTAGAGCTGCCAAATGAGGAGATGGGAGGAGACCTCAAAACCATCTCCCCAAAGAGCTTGGGGCTAGAATTTTTAATGATTTTGGAGTGGGCCAAAGTGTGGAGATTGTTGATTGATCGAAAGGTGCAAGGTGAAGTCATGGGACAGGAAGATAAAGAAACTGAATTATCATGCTGATTTCATTCCTCTGTGAGAGTCTTCAAACTGGATAGTATCAGCTATTCTGCTGGAATTCAGGATCTGAAAAACATCTTAAGCAATTCTTAAACAAAAGCCTTATGATTCTAATGTCAGGATCCTATCTATAGGAACAGTGACATACAAATGGTCAAGATCTGGTGTTCCTGTGACTTTCAGTTACAAGGAAGTGGGTCAAAGTGTAGTCTAAGTAATGCTTAATTATAAATATATTTCTGTCTAGAATTCTGATTAACCCTGTGAGGATGACTTCAAGAGTGGGCTGATTGGTGAAAGAGTGATGGACTGAGAAAGGAGGGTGTGCAAAGAATTAACTTTGATGTATGGATTTGCCTCCCTTGGGGTCTCAATCACAGAAGAGAGGAAATCATAACATAATGAAATTGCATTCATGCATATTCACTTAGAAGAGATTTTATTTATTATTAACAATATCCCAAGTCATCATGATTTAGCTAATAAACCAGCAAAGAGCAATTCATATTAAGATTGTTTGACTTCCTGTCAAATAGCTACATTCTGGTACATGCAGAAAGAATGAAATAAACAACTTAACTGAGAATTAATGAATTGGGAAATACCTGCAAAGCTTTGTCTATGATCTGGGTTTTTGGAAGAATTCCAAGTAGTAGTCTTGATTTTGATTAATATTACAATTTATCCTGTTAAAGAAGTACCTCATAAATACTCATGAAGCATTTTATTAGATGATTGTAAATACTTAAAATCTTATTTTGCAGTCCTTTTCATCACAAGGAAAAGAGAAGCAGGCTGTGAGCAGTATATCATTTAGCCTTGTTCATTGACGGCAAAAGTCACATCACATGTTTTAAAAACAAAATGTTTCAATACTCATGCTGTCATTGCACAAGGTTAGTGTTCTTGTAGGCCTGCCTTGCATGAATGTGATGTATAGAACTGATCCTGTGATAACACATCCTCCCCTAAACCCTCTAGTGGCA